CTCGGTTAAGTAATAATCTCTCTAAGATAATAGTTTCCTCTGATCCCGACTTGGGCCAATGGAAAAAATTACCCATTTCGATGAGATAATAAGAAAATATATTTTCAGAATACCCATATATAAATAAATGGTCTCATTAATATTATAAATTAATAATTCTTTATAAGTATAAATATATCTAAGACAATTTAGTGAAATATGATTTTATTATGTTCTGTTTTTTGTTAAAATTTAAATCTAGTTGAAGCTCATTCCTAACTTTTCTTATTGCATCCAAAATTTTCAGTGTTGTCTTTTTGAATTGCACCTTAAATTGTAAAGAGTTCTAGATGCGATAAGTGTTTCCTTACGCGTAACTAGATCCAAAGATATTGTATCATCTTCAACTTTATCATCAACATTATTTTTTTCAGTGATATTCACAATTTGTTCTAAGCTCTGGACCTCTAAACATGTATCTTTTCATCCATCCAATAGGTTATTAACGTACATTTTATTGCGGTAATCAAGATCATTAATTATGACCTCAAGTTCATGAATGACGTTTTCACAAGTGGGTTAATCCAAATTCTTTGAGATTTTATTCCCGAATAAATTTTTCGGTGTCGAAACACTCTTTAAATTAATAAATATTAATTACCGATTAAATAAATATCTCTATAAAATAATAATATTTCATGGTCCCACTTATATTAATTTAGAGAGGTTTTACCGTACATTAAGCATGTGTCAAACTAACGGTCTAGTTTAATTAATTATTTTTAAATTTTTTTATCATATTAATTTTTTGATTATTATATAATATATAAAATAAATTAGATTTTTTGAGTCTCATATTCTCAATCATCTCGATTTTGATACGATTTGATTAATTTTTATTTTTAAATGTCATTTAGCACTGTTGCATTGATAAAATTTAATGAAATTAAATACTCAAAAAATACCAAAATAAATATTGTTTCTATTATTATCATATCCTGCAAAGACCATTAATAGAAGCGATATATTCGTTAGTCATTATGTTTATGGTTTATCATAATCACATGATGCACAACTCTTATTACAAAGAGGCTTTATACAAAATTGTATTGGATTTACATTGAAAATTATAGTTGATTCTGCTGAATACTTAAGTTTTTTGTACTTTTTCATCTTTTATAATGTGGAAAATTTGTTTGGCTGTACAATATCATTATTCTATCAAGAATATATTTTATTATATGTAGTTGCCCATGGAAATTTTATAAACATCTATTTTAGATAATAATAATAATAATAATAATAATAATAATAATAATAATAATAATAATAATAATAATAATAATAATAATAATAATAATAATAATAATAATAATAATAATAATAATAATAATAATAATAATAATAATAATAATAATAATAATAATAATAATAATAATAATAATAATAATAATAATAATAATAATAATAATAATAATAATAATAATAATAATAATAATAATAATAATAATAATAATAATAATAATAATAATAATAATAATAATAATAATAATAATAATAATAATAATAATAATAATAATAATAATAATAATAATAATAATAATAATAATAATAATAATAATAATAATAATAATAATAATAATAATAATAATAATAATAATAATAATAATAATAATAATAATAATAATAATAATAATAATAATAATAATAATAATAATAATAATAATAATAATAATAATAATAATAATAATAATAATAATAATAATAATAATAATAATAATAATAATAATAATAATAATAATAATAATAATAATAATAATAATAATAATAATAATAATAATAATAATAATAATAATAATAATAATAATAATAACAATAATCTTAATTGAATGTAAAAAAAAAAAGTGAAAATTTCATCTCAAAGTCTATTAGCTTACAACTTATGTTGGTTGATTAAAAATGTTTTTTATTGCTATGCTAAAATTTTAAATTAAGATAATCACGAAAAACAAGTATTGAATACTTGATTTGGTGTATCAATGGCAATCGATTTGAATTTAGTATTATAATCTTTTTTTAAAACAAATTTTATCCAAGTAACATTGTCCAAGATAATTTTTCGAATATCTAGGATTGAGATATTATTTTCATACATCCTCTAATAAAAATATCTATTCTAAAATTACTAATATCAAAATAAATACTAAAATACTAGTATGTTCTTTTCCACATTTAATATATGATAACTATTTTGCACCAAAATAATTGTATCATATACTTTCTATTTCGAAGACCTTTGTTAACACAACTTTTGTAGTAAACACGTGTAAATTGCATTTGTAACCTGTGATTTGCAATTTGTGGTATTCTACAAAAAAAATTAAAAAAAATCCATGATTGATTGATTATTTTTTTAAAGCAAAAACTTCATAGTTTGAAAAAAATAATATATTGTTCTTCCTTCTTAGCACACGCGTTCATTAACACATACATGCATTTTGCATAAATACACCATACATTATTTTGCTCAAAGTAATTAATCTTAACCTAAATAAAACGTGTGATTTAATTTACGAAACTAATAATATTAATTGATCTTCCCGTAATTATAAATAAAAATTAATGTTAGTTATTAGTGTTGGTCCAAAAAGTAAAAGAGCAATTGCCAAATAAATTTTCTTTCCGATAACTCCTCTCATACGTATATTTTCACAACTTTTCAATGTTATAGAAAAATCAAAGATGATTACATTATTTTTTCAAAGATATTTTTACGTTGAAATCTCCTATTCTTGAATAACATAAGTAAAATGTTAGTCAAATTTGTTTCATTAGTTATATGATTTTAAATTAAGAAACAATCAATATTAGAATATTGTTTTTCTTCATACAAAAATTACTCAAAGCAGGATCTAAACTCCCATCTACCTCTATGGCGATTGGACCAAACCCATAAATTCAATTTAATTAAAGGTTTAAGTATAGTTAGATAAATAACACAAGGATTGAAACCGTAACAAACTAAAAATTCAGGGATTAAGAATACTACTTTCCATTTCATATTTGTTCATTATTTTACACGAAATAAGCATTTTTTTTTCATCATTTTCATGAATATCTCAATGTCCAAGAGAAAAAGAATAAGGGAAAAAAACAACACGTATTCTCAATTTTTTTTTGCGTATTCTTAATTTCACTACATTATTTGCGAAAAAAATGTTGAGCTGGACCACCTCAAATGTTGTAAGCCATATATGAGGAGAGATTCACACATGCATTTTATGGAATCTGATTGAAAATATTGAAGCCTTAAATTAATTTCTCTCATTTCAAATGAAGTTTCTTATTTGAATTTCTACTTATGTGTCATGTATCACAACATAATAGATCAAAGCAACAATCTAAAAGTAGAAATGTTCAACAACTAATTAATTTCAACATCATTTATTTGCTAAATTGAGAAAAAAAAACAAGAAAAGAAAGGAAATCCATAAATCTAAAATAATCATCTGATTAGATTAATTAAAATTTATATTAATTGATCTCGAATTTTTTTATTAAAGATAAAAATAGAAATTTTTAGATCTAATACCTAAATAAAAATTAAAAGTTTTATTGCTTTTCTGTTTCTGTCTTTTTCTTAACATGGAAAATTAATGAAGATTCAATATTTGGTAGTTGAATGTACAACTACTCTTTACAGTTACACTTACTCCCAATAATTGTAATTGCCTTATTTAGTTTGGCACCAGAGATTGAAAAACAATACACCAAATGACTTTGACTCACCCACATAGTTTTTTGGTAGTTGACTAGTATTTATTATACTTTGCTATTCTCAAATTTCCACCATATTTTCTTTAAAGTGCCTTGTCTAATTTACTTGATATACTTACCCTCCCAACCCAATCAATACGTTTATTAAGTGCTAGTTAATTTAGGGTTGCACACTTTAGATATCGTTTGATGCGGGATAAGAATAATAATTTTGAGAATAATTTTTTTTTTATATTTGTTTTGAGATTGGTAATTTTGCGATTATTTTGAGGTACTAGAGACTTTTGAATATTACTTTCATTTTAAAAATCTCTTCAAATTAATAAAATAATTCGATTTGAATTGCTTATTCTAATTAATCACGATTTTCTACCACGTTCGCTTTGTAAGCCTAATTTAGTATTATTAAGGCACGTTTGATTGAAGAACAAGTCATCTCAAAATTAATTATCTCGAGATTATTATCCACCCTTAATATGGGATAAAAGTAACACTGCGATCTCGGGATAAGTTATTCCGCTATTTTATTCCAATCAGACATGAGATAAGCTTATCCTACTGCTAATTTCGGAATTAATATTCCCTTATCCTTTCTACCAAACGAGGTATTAAGTTAATATACGCAAAATTTAAAAGTTAGTTAAAACTAACACGTTAAAAAATGGTTATTTCTCAATTAACCATGAGATAAATGAGAACACTCCAAACTTATTAACATGGTCGAAATATATTTGGAAAAAGTTTATCGATCAATTTTTTACATGTTTAAAACAGGATATTCCAAGATATTATTACGCATAATGTGAATACCTATGTTTAATTTAGGTTAATTAACATATGTGATGATGTGAAAAGTCTAACAAAAAGACAAGTTGGCAATGAGTTTCACAAGTTTTAACTGACTTTTTTTTTCCTACTAACTTATAATATACGGCGTTTTGAAAGTTACACAAACAAGAAAGTTTCAAAGCAGCGATTTTATCAAAGAAAGAAACTTCTTGGGCCGTTCAACATCTAAGCTGTTTCTTTTTGTCCTTCATTTGCAATTTTCTGTCTTCATTTTAATCAGATTTTGTTGTGTTTAACAGTGTAATTAGAAGTGATTAAGAGCTAAGGTTTTTGAGATTTCTGACGTGTTGACGTCAGATTTCTGATCCAAAAATGTCTTTAATGTCAACAATAACTACAGTCTTTATCCTATTTTTTTTCTTTTTTTTGATTTGATTTATTCTTCTTCTTCGGCTTCTTTTAATATAATATAATATATATATGTACTTTGAAATTTACAAAATCTGATTATTAGTATTTTTTATTTACTCTGTTTTCTGGGGTATAGATTTTTCATTTTCTATTGAAGACGCGTTTCTCCGGTGATTGCTTTCTACTTTTTGATTTTGTTGACCGTCGCATGAGTGGACTTTGACTGGCCGTGATCGGAGTTTTTTCTCGATGGGGCAGTGTTGCAGTAAGGGTGTTTCCGGTGATAATGGTGGTAGCGTTGTTGCTGTCGGAGATGGAAACTCTGCGGTATCTACCAACAATCGCCCTAAACCACCACCTTCACCGGTACGTCAATCAGTCGGGAATGGGATGAGTTACACCAACAACAGTACGCCAGCTCACTCATTTACAGCCAGTCCGTTTCAGAGCCCGTATCCTGCCGGAATAGCTCCATCTCCATCTCCCGTTGGAACACCGAGAAGGAAATTCAAGTGGCCATTTCCACCGCCATCGCCGGCGAAACCTATATTATCAGCTATCTTTAAGCGACAGGGAGGGACGTCAGTAAAGCCGAAAGAAGGGCCAATACCGGAAGATGAAGGTGGTGAAGGTGAGGGACAACTTGATAAAAGCTTTGGCTATCCACAGAATTTGACATCAAAGTATGAATTGGGAAAGGAGGTGGGTCGAGGGCATTTCGGCCATACTTGTTGGGCAAAAGGTAAAAAAGGCGAACTCAAAAATCAGCCAGTGGCTGTGAAGATCATTTCCAAAGCTAAGGTGTGTGGTATGTGTATGCATTTGCTGCTATTTTTCACTCATTCATGATCTTATGAGGGTGCAGCATCACCCAATCTAGAGAAGCTTTTTAATTCAGATTAAATCCATAAGATATCATAGCTAGCTATATAATGTAGGTGGAAGTCTATTGTAGTTTCGGAGTTTTCCCTTTTCGGAATTTGGGAATTTTGTCCTGTACAATGTAAAACAGTGTTATGTCCATGGAATGTTTTGCGAAAAAAGTGCACATTGTAGAATACATGTTAATAGAAATCTAAGAAAAATGAATTGTTTCAAGCCAGTGTACCTATAAGACTAGATTAGTAATGGCGTAAGGCAATTAATAGAAACTTTAGAAGCTATAGCTGTTCTACAAGGTGAGTGATAATTTGCTGTGTTTTGCATACATATCTTTGAATTATCTGTTGGTGTTGAAACAAGTGCGCCCGACTTGATGGCATACTAAGACAACTAACCAGGGCCTCATTTGTCTCTGTCAATATTGATTCTCCATTTAGTCTGACTTATATATGAAATCCTGTAGTCGGAGACATTATATTTTTTTTTTTTGATTTGCACCGGGTGTCCGAGTCTCTTTGAGCCCCGACTAATCCCGGGGGTGCACAGGCCCTCGGCAAGGAGTTTCCCGCAAGTGCACCACGGTTAATTCAGGTTTTACCCAGTCCGATGGCCCTCAGAAATTGTTTGCACCCAGTGGGTTTCGAACTTGAGACCTTGAAAGGGAGCAAACCCCAAGGCTCAAGTCAATTGCCAGCAGGCCAACCCCTGAGGGTTTAGTCGGAGACATTATATGAAGCAGTTGGATGCTTGTCAGATACATCCATAAGCATTTTATTTAATTCTGGTGATTCTTAACACTTAAGGTTGTGTTTTGTAACACACACACATATATATAAAGGTGGACTGCAATTCAAATATATGCCACCCCCTTCTCTCTAAAGTGGGATCACCTTTACGTTGTGTGGATACTACCTTTTCTGGAAATGACATGGTAATAGGTCTTAAGTTTGACTTGGGAGTAGGCTGTTGATGGGATGAATGTTGTTTGGCAGATGACAACTGCTATCTCTATCGAAGATGTTCGCAGGGAGGTGAAGATATTGAAAGCCTTATCTGGACATCAGAATCTTGTCAAGTTTTATGATGCATTTGAGGATGCCAACAATGTCTACATAGTAATGGAGTATGTCTTTCTTTCTCTTCAATCTCGTCTTACTTCAGTTATGCTGATTTCTCTATAGATGCTTTCAATTAATGTCAGAAATCATTTCTTTACACTAATTTTATGCTTTGATAAGGTACCTCTTTATTTTATCAAGAATCTTCATTTCCAAACTTTTTACCTTTGATATCCTCCAGTTTGTTGGTATGATTGTTTGAAATGGCTTTAAGATAATTCTATCATGTTGGTACACTTTCAATTAGGTCACTCTTGACAGAAGTTTTTTTAATTTGTCAAAGATTTGTATGTCAGTGTAAGAGTAAGTTTTAGACTTCGATGATCTCAATTAATGTCAGAGACTTTTGAATTAGAATGAAAGAGGAACTAATGGCGCGGAATGGATATTGAGTATTCGTTGGTTAGGATGTGGTTGTTGATGTTGCCTTAACTTAATTATGAAGTGAGTTGTCTACTTCTTATTTTTCTTCCAATGCTTTCTTTCATAATAGGTTATGTGAAGGCGGGGAACTATTGGACAGAATTCTATCAAGGTAATTTTTGCTATTTGGATGTTAAGCATAATATAGAAACGCAAGTTAAATGTAAAATGCCTTTCTCTTTTCCTTCTCAGAGGTGGGAGATACACAGAGGAGGATGCCAAAAGTATTGTGGTTCAAATACTAAATGTTGTCGCCTTTTGTCATCTTCAAGGTGTGGTGCACCGTGATCTGAAGCCCGAGGTACTACATAAATCAACCTCACTAAAAATGTTCATGAATGTGAATCACATTTTGGGGAGATTTTCTCCGCTTATTCCACTGATCTAACTGCTTCTGTAACTTGATTTACTTGTAGAACTTTCTTTTTGCAAAGAAAGACGAGGATTCACCAATGAAGGTGATTGATTTTGGTCTATCAGATTTCATTAAACCAGGTAATGATTGCATTTGGATAAGACAGACAATTTTGATTTTATTTTTTCCTTTTGGTTGATTTATCACTTGTCATTTAATAACCACCGATGCCGTGGCTTCTTGAAAATGCACATAATCTACAAATAATCCCTTGAGTTTTAACTTCTGACTTCCTGCCCTCTTCTGTTATCAAATTTTATGATGAGGTGGGGCCTACCACATTTCAAAAGGTCTCTGTTAGGATGCTTCACATCTGAAAATAATCTCTTTTTCGTCTTGTGACAAATTTAAAAGATGCAGGTGTAATTACTTGGGTCAGTTTTGTAATTGTAGGTAAATATTATAATATACTACTCCCTCCATTTCAAGTTGTTTGTACTATTTTGACTTGACACTAAGTTTAAGAAAGTAAGAAAGTCTTTTGGATCTTGTGGTCTTAAATTAAAAATATGTCAAATATACCAAAATGCCTTTTAATCTTATGGTCTTAAACATGCAATGTGGAAAGTTGTAATTAAAGAGTTGCTAAAAAGGAAAAGAGGTATTTTTTTGAAACGGACTAAAAAGGAAAGTAGGACAAACAAATTGAAACGGAGGGGAGGGAGCAAAGGCGGACCCACGTTTGAGGGAGTGGGTGCACGTGCACCCGTTTACTTCAATTTTTTTTATGCGTATATACATGTATATACCTGAATAAGGATCATATAATTAAATGTGCACCCTGAAATACATAAGCTGAGTTGGTTCATTGGTCCGACAGTGTTCATTGTGCTTCTTCGCAAGCGGAGTGTCCTGAGTTCGATTCTGATGTTGCGTTTTCTTTTTGTCATTTTTCTTTCTCAAAAAAGGCATATTAAAAACCTCAGGCGAGGTTCGAACTAGAAACCTCAAAGTGTACACTGAGGGTCAAGACTATCCAACAATAGAGTGAACTATGTTATATTTTTGTTTAATTTATATTTATATATACCTTCGATGTTGTACTTGTTTGACAATATTTTCCTATGAAGTGTCAGTGCTTTGACTAACCCGCATCCGCCTTTAGTAGTGCCCCCATCGTCTTCAGGTTCGCCTCTGGGAGGGAGTAGTTACTGTGGAACACACTGCAGAAAGCACTCAGTAGAAACCTAATCATAATTAGGAAAGCAATCTTTATCTAAACGTTAACAAATTTCCACAGTAGCAACTGGTTGTTTCTTTAAAATATATCAAGTAAATCAGTTTAAGCTTCTTAATCTTAATAGGCAAAGACTCTTCCCTATAGTTTTAGGTTGTAGTGCTGTTTGTGGAGTTCTTGCCATTGTTCCACATTTTGCATAAAGGACATAGATCTTTGAGATGAGACCCGGCTTAGATGTAACCTTTACTTACTTATTTGGCAAAAGAGGTCCCTATCAAAAAATATTTGGCACAAGAGGTGAGCCAAATTACATGGTATAGCTCCAAGCTTTCTGTGTAAGGTGGTGATAGCTCAGTGGGGAAGTAAGACTTTCAGCTAGGAAGTTCAGCTGTGAATTTCGTTGTCTCTTTCCCAAAATGAGTCCCCGAACTATTATTTAAAACACTAGTTGTATAAATATTGGATGTCTAGAAATCAAAAGCAGCGGAGTTGATACCTCTTGTTTCCGCAGATGTTCAGTTGCTATAAGTAAATTGAAATATCAGCATGATTCTCTTTCTCTTTCTTTTATGATAATTTTTATCACCTTGGACAACAAGTCAGCTGCTTAACAAATTGATTTTAGGAAATGTCAAGATGAGTGAATTAGGTGTGATTTGAGAAGTTCTTCTGTAATTGGGCATGCAACTTTTCATTATTATCACACATGACAGTCGGTCAGTCACTAATTATTCTTTGCTAAGCCAGGTCTAATACTCCATTTCAATTAAGTTTCATCTCTGTGATAAGGATGTGAAATGCTTTATTTTGTTGATCCATTTTAATTGGTACTCCTGATTTATGGTGGTTTTTGCTTATGAAATTTGCTCTGCAGGGTATGTTCATTTACTTTCTGTATGATGTATGAGATTACCTATCCTTGTTAATTTGGTATTCAACACTGCCCTTAAGATGTAAACAATCATTTCTTCTGCTTTTACAGATCAACGTCTTAACGATATTGTTGGCAGTGCATATTATGTTGCTCCTGAAGTACTTCATAGGTCATATAGCATTGAAGCAGATATGTGGAGTATTGGTGTGATAACTTATATCTTGTTATGTGGAAGTAGACCTTTCTGGGCACGTACAGAGTCTGGCATTTTCCGTTCTGTGTTACGAGCTGATCCTAATTTTGAGGACTCGCCTTGGCCTGCAGTGTCAGCAGAGGCCAGAGATTTTGTGAAAAGGCTTTTGAATAAAGACCATAGGAAGAGAATGACTGCTTCTCAAGCACTGAGTAAGTTGTTTATGTTCAATTTATCAGCTTTATAACAAAAATGTTCCATTTATCAAGGACAAATACATAGACCGTCCCTCAAACATAGCACAAAATGTCATTTAGACACCTCATCTTCAGTCATGACCAGTTGAACACTTCTAATTGACTAAAATGTCCCATAAATACAAAACGCTGATGTGGCAAACCATGAATGAGACACTCATTTTTTGAGCGTGTAACATGCCTCTTTTCTGCTAAGTTTCTCATTCTCTTCTAAAATAATCCCCATCCATCAGAGATCACTATAGCAATCGTCCTTTCACTGTCTTCAATTTTCTCACTCTTCCTCGGAACCAGCCACCCTTGAACATATCTTTCTTCTTCCTTGCACGAACCACAGAGCTGGGGTTCAGCTCATAACAAAAAAAATTCGGGTCTCAATGTACGGATTAAAAAAGGAGATAACCAGAAGCTTCTAAAAGGCTGAGAGATGTTAAATTATTTGGCATCCCGCCCAAAGATGACACTGAGCCACTGCTGCCAATGACTTTACGGCCTTGGCCACAGAATCTCTAGAAACTTCCTCACGATCGATCTCGAAGACGTTCTATCACCACCATCATCGACTGTCTTAGCTCATCAATAACAGCATCCAACTCTGAAGCTTGCCCATCAACGAGCAGTCCTCTTTTCATCAGTTCAAATGTTGGTGGTTGCCTTAACACTTTCTTGAGCCTTCACCATTGATTTCTTAAATTATTCTTCTCTCTTTGTTTCTGATTTTAGCCTCTTCATTTTTTCCCTTGTTCTACTGATAACACCATCGTCCCATTGAGTAATTAATAGTTGGAAAGAGCATAGAAGGTTTAATCAGCCACCCCAAAGAATTGTTGTTTCTAAAGAATTGTTCCATGGTGGAGAAGCAAGATGAATGCATCTACAGTTGTTGCCTTGAAATTTTCTTGATAATACTGTTGGTAATGACCCAAACTTGTGCCACTAAGCTTCTGCAATTTTCTGAAGGGATTAAAAGGATTATGAAGAGAAAAGTACTGTTTTTGAAAGACCAGGAAAGGAGGGGACAAGCTGAAGATTAAATATTCATATTTTTCTGTTTGGGTATTATGGGATAACATGGTTTGTTAGAATGAAATGTGTCTTTATTTTATTGTTCTTCTGATACATCATCAGTGTGTGAAAGTAAATACGTTTTGTTTTGTGAGGTTTTATTCGCTGAAGGGTTCACAAAACACAATTCTGTCAAGTTTAGGTGTCCAAGACTCCAAGTTAGAGTTAAGGTGTCTAACTGACATTTTGTTCCAAGTTTGATGGATTATCTGTGTATTTGGCCGTTTATCAATGATGTGACAGGAAGATACTCTCTGCTTAGTGTCTGAATTTCTCTTGGCATGTATCAATTTCCATTAATTTTACTGTACATGCATTTCACCCTGTGGATCTGATGGATTCCTTTTGCATTTGCAGCTCATCCATGGTTAAGGACTGAAAATCCTTTTATACCCTTAGACATATTGATCTTTAAATTAGTCAAGACTTATATTCGAACATCACCCTTGAAACGTGCAGCACTGAAGGTAATTCCTATACTGGTGGTTGTCAGTTGTTGCTTATTTGGAGCATTCTTTTGAAGTCTTCTATCTTGAGAGTGTATATCATTTCAATCTATTCTTATAATGCAGGCTCTTTCAAAAGCATTGACAGAAGAAGAGTTAATATACCTCAAGGCTCAATTCAATTTATTGGAACCGAAAGCTGGTTCTGTGTCACTCGATAATTTTAGGATGGTTGGTGGTCTTACTGTATAATTTTTATTTCACAAAAAAATACAATTATTTGCGAAGTGTTTTTCGAACAATTCTCCATCTATCTTCCAATTCCTAATTGCATCATCGTGAATTGATTGTGCAGGCACTTATGAAACAAACAACTGATGCCATGAGGGAGGCCAGAGTTCTTGACATCATAAATTTGGTGAGACACCTATGCTATTGTAGTAACTTGTTCTGATTGTGTTCGTTTTCTCTCCGACTTCTATCATTTATGTATTCGTGCATGCATTACAATATTAACGTCCTAGATATCAATTCATGCTTTTAAGTGATAATCATTGGGTTCTAGAGTGAGGGGACATGCTTAGCATGTTTAATGCACTTGTTTATGATAACCTTGGAGAGGGCATAGAAGATAACATTGTTCTTGCAATCTTTTTCATCTTTCTGTGTCCTTACTAGTTAAACACTATGTTGCTCGAGCTCTCCAACAATGTTGCCATGCCCATCGCGGATCCTCCAAAAATGCATAGCTTTTGGAGGATCTGACACACACATGGTAATATTTTGGAAGAGTCTGAGCAACATAGGTTAAAAGGGACTCTTCGACCAAGATGTCACTCATTGTTTCTAAATTTAAATACAATGGGACGGTTATCTTTCTATTTCTGCTACTATGCCTCCTGTATATTGCTTAACTCATTTTTTTCACTCTTTCAAACAAGAAATAATATCATCTTCATTCTGAAAGCCCCGCTCTGAGTAGCATTTAAGTAAAAAGGTGTCATTTTCCTATGGCATTGAGGAATAGTTAGTTGCCAAATGAAAAGATAAATCCTAACAGTTTGTTGATTCCTGAAAAGCATGTGAAATTTCTTCTTTCTAGATCATAAATCCATGAACTTGCACCTTGTATCTTTTTGTTTGAACATAACATAACATCTTATCACTTCTACAATTTTGAACTCATATTTTTGTTTGTTAAATTGAAGCTGGAACCATTATCTTATAAGCAAATGGAGTTTGAAGAGTTCTGTGCTGCTGCAATTAGTACATATCAGCTTGAGGCTCTTGAAAACTGGGAACATATTGCTAGTGCCGCTTTCAATTATTTTGAGCAAGAAGGAAACCGTGTCATTTCTATTGAGGAATTAGCTCAGGTAAGCGAAGGGTGTACTGGCAGTGCCTGTATTTTGATCCATCTTAGCTATTTTTGATGTGATATCTGTGTTTGCAGGAAATGAATTTGGGCCCTACGGCTTACGCTTTTCTCAAGGATTGGATCAGACCATCCGATAGGAAATTGAGTTTCCTTGGGTATACCAAATTTTTGCATGGTGTGACAATGCGAAGTTCAAGCACAAGACATCATCGATAACATGGCTGCACAGAGCGCACACCAGTTGCTTCAAAGAGAGAACAAGAGATTATAGTTTCTATTCTTTTCGTTCTTTTTTTCTTTTGTGCAGTAATAGAAAGTGTTAAACTTATCTAGTGTCAAAGATATCCAATTGATGTTGTGAGGATCATTATTCTTTAATAACTAGCGATTTGGATTTTGGATCTGTGTAATTGATTTTTCTGGGGAAGAAAACTTCAAGGAGCATGCTGAATTGCTGTTTGACAATCTGAAGCTTAAAAAGTTCATTTCTTCTACAATTTACTAGCTAGGTAGTAGTCCTATTATTTTGGCTGAGCATATTCTGCTAGTGGTAATCAACCTACTAGAAAATTAAAGTGACTTGCATGTTTGCAGCTACTGTTTAATTGCGTTGGGCTAAGATAATCCAAATATATCCTTGCGTGATATTGTTCTCGTTTGATTTAAGTTTGCATGATTTTCTTTTAAGAGTATCTCTACACCTTATATGAAGACTATATATAGCTTCATTTTTTTTCCAGCTATCAATATGAGACTTTGACTCGTAGACATGCAAAGGTTGTAGGTCATGGCCCACACAATCACTACGCCAATTCTATACTTGTCTAGCGAACCATGGACTCTCGTATCAGTTTTTGGGCTAAATCAATTAGAGATACTATTAACATGATGTGATATTGTTTGCTTTGGACCAAACCAATACAATTTGTCCCAACATATCTAACACCATTAAAAATGTCCTACACCTTATATGGACCTTTTTTTTCCCCTTTTTCGCTATCAATGTGAGACTTTGTTTGTACATTCAACAATCTCTCCCTTAAATTAAGTTCTACAAGTGACCCATTACCATGAAATTTGGCTTATTCGGAGAGTCAGGTGTTTCGAGTGTTTATGACCGTCAAAATCGATAGGCCCTTTTTTTTTGTATGTATGTCTCCAAATTATGCGTAAAGGTTGTACATCTGCCTATAGACATGCAAAAGTTATAAGTAAAGGTTGTACATCGGGCTATAGACAATCAAAGGTAGTAAGTCGTAGTCCACACCATATTTCACTCCACTAATTTCATACTCATCTCGTCAGATCATTGATTCTAATATTAGCTATTGACTAAATCAATCCAAAAGCACAACATGGTGTGATTCTAATATTAGTTATTTACTAAAAATCAATTCAAAAACACACTAAACATGGTGTGATATTATCTGCTATGCGCCAAGTTAATATGATGATTTTCTCCATAAGGTCTCACACTAGGGGGTATTCCTATATCTTATACGTATTTTTTTTTTTTGAACTAACAATATAAGACTTTGTTCAGGCACCGAACATATTGATCCTAAAATATATATATTAAAAAAAAGATCAAGGGACTTCTAGATGGGAATTGCCATTTTCTTCATGTTTTTCTTAAGTAGACCACGCCAATAGCTGTTAAAGCAACATACAAAATTGGCAAATGGTCCATTAGCGAAGTGCTAAAATGCTTCTTAACAAGTCATTGACCAGATTGGTTTCTTACCTAACTAATCTTCAAACATTATTTCCACGTTTATAATCAAAGCATTAGTCCATGTTGTGCCTCAATAATCCACTACAAAAAAGTCCCTAAAGGGATCATCAATCAAGTGGATAATCTCAAATAAGAACATGATATTTTTGGGTTCCAACCACAGCTACAACACTTAATATGTGTGTCTATCTACTCAAATCTTTGTATAGCAATCTAGTGTAATTCCACCGGACTCGAAAGATAGAGTATACGCAGACCTTACTCATATCTTGAAGGTAGGGATCAAATTGTTTCCGATTTAAAATGCCCTAGGTAAAAAGGTTTGATATATAAATTATAACAAAAATAATAATATATGATATTTTTTTTTGATAATGATGTAAAATAAATAAAATTCTGGATTGAGCGGTTCAGGAATCCAATTATATTGGAGCGATATGGATAAAAGAACTTCCTATATTATACTATTCTATTCTCGATGACGAATGGTTTTGATAGTTCAAAGTAACAAGTGTGTAAACATTTTGTTGTGGTAGGGGGCAGGTGGATAGGAAAAACAACATTTGAATTTCCCCCATCAACTTAAAACAACTACTGCCAAACTAACAATTGACATATAACCGACGTTGACTATTATTGTATCATGTATGAACTCCCAACTATTCTTTTTTCAATTCAAAATAATATACGTATGGGAATCTTTATTACAATGTCTTTGGATAACACTATAGATTCCTCAAGTAGCATCTAGTGAATAGTGTTGTGTTCTTATTTTTAAAGATACTAAGCGGTTAGTTAAGGTTGATTTATTTTATTGACATTTTGGTTTAACGTTATCGTATTTAAGAAGAAGTTGTTTGTTTTAAAAAAAATACCTTCCATCTCATTTAATAGAAAAAAGGTTTAAGCTGGGACCTTAGGGGTACTTTAATCATTTTTGTTGTTTTATCTCGGGATAACTAATATAAGACTGTTATTTCAACCTCAGTTACAAATAACTAGTCCCGATACTAATTATTAATCACAAATTCCAAGATCAGTAACCAAACAAGAATAAAGCAATATTTAATTTTTAATTGAGGATTATTTATGCTTGTCCAGCCTACCAAACGATCCTAATCAGACCGTCTTAAAATTGTGATCTTTGGAGCGTATCTCATCTTATAATCAATTAATATATTATTTAGGGTACGATTACGATAAAAGAATTTGAGGAATATAATTGTCACATACATAATATTTATATCTGTTATTTTATTCCGTTTCACAACAACCTATTATGGGTTCTTTCCTAACGACACAACCGTCCAAGCGTATGAAGCTTGAGGCTTCTTCATTTTTGTTTATTCATTTAATATCTAAAATATATTGGCCTGACTAATTCGAATACACATCGGTAAGCTCCGTATTGTGGTTAAATCACTTAATACTCAGATTTTATATATAATTAAAGGTGGAGGAACTTTAATCATTTCACCACATTCCTCGATAGTATATATGAATGTTGAAGCTTGAATGTGCATGTAAAGTGTACATGAAAGAAGGATCTAATTGTTGATTTTTGTCAAGCTGAGGGTGGAATGTGAAAAACTAAAGAAACAAAATATTGGAGATGGGAAAAACATGTACTATCGCATCTTTTTTTTAAAAATAAAATAATTGTTGTTGAAATTTTCTTATATAAATTTTATGATAGTATTTTATTTTATTTTGGTTTGAAGTTGAGCCAAATCTTATAAGTCGTTTGATTCGTGGACTAAGTTATTAAGTTATCTTGAAATTGTAGTCATGTGAGAATAGTTTTTGGATTAACTTGAGTATCTATTACCGATAAAAAAAAGGTATTGTTACATTGATTTTTTGGGGTTGAAGTTGGCCAACCTTTAGAGAAGATGAAAAGTAAACCACACATTATAAACATACGAGAAATGAGGAGAAAGCACAAAGAATGGTGTCTAAAGTAAGGGAACTGAATATGATTGGGTGACACTACTTTTTCCCTTCAATTAGGGGAATTATATTCCACAATAATAATAGTAAGGTGCAACCTGTTGTAGAGACAGGAATGAATGCTTCCACTGTTTCATCCAATTTTAGCTACTTGCATTAATTAAAATTTATACTACCTCATGAAGCATGCCTTTAAAAGTTGAAATAAATAAATAAATAAAGAAAGTACATCATTTTTCTACTGTTTCTCAAATAAACAGTATATTTTCCGTTGGTAATCAAAGTTTGTCTTTAGCTAAGACAAAAGTACTATTGGTGATTTTTTTCGGTTGTTCAAATTTTAATAGATAAAAAATTCACATCAAATGTTATATTTCGTTATATCTTTTTATTGATTTGAGAGTCGAGATATCTGTTATTAAAAGTAGTCTTTGTTTAAAAAAAAATACATGTCCTCACGCACACCACGAACGAAGTGTTGGATTAGATTGCCAATTTAGTATTCCTTAGCATTTTCGTATCGGGGTTCATTAATCACCCGAAGAGTACACGAGCGCGTGCTGGGGACGGAAGGGAGATGCATGGATGGGGTACGAAGCACCCCGCGCGTGCTGCTCCCCATTCTTTAAACATGTTTGTACTAGGTATTTGTATTGATGGAGGCTTCCCCAGTCTTTAAACATGTTCGTACTAGGTATTTGTATTGATGGAAGATAGCAAAGACCTTATAGCATAATTAATCGAAATATAGACAAATTGATCTGAACACATCATAAATCTAAATGGATGCAAAAATTGTCAAACCTTTTGGAGTAGAGGAGTTGTGTTAAAGGAAACCATGCCACAAAATGATTAGTAGTCAATTTTTTATTTTTTTATTTTTGAGAAAATGCACATTAAAAATTTCCTAAGTCAAATGTTTTTTTGACATCCAAAATATGCCATGTGTGAGGGAAGTCAGAAGAGAATCCTCCCATTTTGCTTTTAGTCTAAATTAGTTGCTTACAGTTCATTTTTTTGGCATTATGGCAACTTGAGAAAATGTAGCATCTTCTTTCAAGATTAATGTCAAACTTTGCCCAAGAAAAAATTCTAGCACATGGCCCCTACATGGTTCCTGAGAGATCTATGATTTGATTTAGTCTTCTTATTCACATTATGATTAATTATGAAATCCATTAAACACCATTTGTTAGTGGAGCATTAAGCAAAGAAGTAATAATTGGTCTTTCATTCATGCAATAATCTCTCTCTATATATGGTGAGACATAAAAAATGGAAGTCACTTTAATTTATAAAGAAAATGGTAGGTTTCTCTACAGTCTTCTTTATATATAAATGAATTAATCATGTTTTCAAAGCAATGTTAAAATAATATAGTAATACTATGTATCTATATAATAGTACTACGTATTTTGTAACATAAAATAAGTCAGGGACGTGGTAGTATCACTGCATCTAAGGGTCACAACCTATTTGGATATAAACTATTATTCATAATAATGAAGATATGTTATGAATTAAACCTTCGTCTAGCAAAGCAGAAAAAGAAAATATCTCTGGACCTTGGTGCTATTCCAATTTTCACGAGGGCTTTTGGAACAAGCTTTTGATGAATTGTCGAAGCAGCCCACTTTAACATTTACGATAGGTAAAATCTATCAAGAGTGTTCACGTAATTCCATCTAACTTATACATGAGCCACAAATTTTCTTTAAGAATTCGTAGACACAATCTTCACAAAGCGTTACATGATAAATGCACTAATAGAAAGGAAGCTTCGAATTTTGGATTTGCATAACCCAAACAAAAGTTGACATGAAAGAGGAAGTGGAACCACAGAAATATGAAAACAAAGTATGAACAAACCAAGGCCATATTTTTATGGAGATTTTTAGTGATGTCAAATTGTGACATTAAAGAAAGGGACAAAAGTAGATTTGCAATAAGGTGTCAAGGACCTAGGACCTATCTTCCCTTCCCTTCCCACCAAAAACCCCTTTGTGGAGAAGCATCTTTCATCAATCCACTCAATAATCAATATTCTTAAACACCATTAAACACCATCGGAATAATAACATATTTATTGTAATTTTATTAATAAAGTACATCGAAGATAGAAAAGACAATGTGATAACAAAATAAAGTATGAAATAGATATGCGATAACAAAGAAAAGAGACGCTCAAATTAAATAAAATATCAAAATAAAAGTATGGAATAAAAATGCAACAACAAAGAGAAGCTAGAAAGGCATGATTTTTGATAAACACTCAAATTAAATAAAATATCAAAATAAAGTATGGAGTAAAAATGCAATTTCAAAGAGAAGGTAGTTTGACGATTTTCAATAGACGCTTAAATCAAATAAATTATCAAAATAAGGTATGAAATACAAAAGCTTAAGAAAGAAATAATGCTAAAGTTCCACTATCTACTAACCTATTAATCCTCTATCCTAATTTTCGCTGAGGAGAATTTCAAGCCATACACACTCCTCTAGATTCTTATATAAAAGAAATAGAAATTAAAATAACTAAAATAGCTAATGCCATAATATTTTTTTGTAATATAATAGATTTAATAAAAAATCAGAAAAAGAAAAAAATAATTCTGTATTATGAATATTATTCCAACTTGTTCATCTTCTTTATCCACACTTCTGGGTACATGAACATCTCAGAACAGAGCATTAAAAAAAAGCCCAAAAAGGACTCGATCCAAAACTAGAAATTTACATCATTCGAAGCACTAACAATTCCGAGTCCAAAATAACAAAAAAAAAAAACTACCAAAATATGTAACTATAGAAAAAAAAGGTTTAGGTCTTGAAGCACCATGAATGGTGATGATGATGATTATGCGGATTTTCCTTAGCAATCAATCCCTGAACATAGCGGAATTGTTCAACATGACAAGGGATATTAATTGGTCCTTTATGATCGAATCCAAATTCTTTCTCTGCTTCTTTAAGTAGTTGCAAAAACAGGGGATGATTGATATAATTGACAGGGATGACAAACCTCTGTTGTTCTTCACCTTGACCCACTATAACTGCAAGACACCCTTTTGGTATATTCTTTAATTCCTTCTTCCCATGATTATGATGATGATGGAAGTTAATGTGTGGAACATGAAAATGGAAACTCAGATGGTGTTTTTCTCCAGTACCCATCTCTGCTTTTATCAAGATTTGAAGGAAAAAACAAGAAATTGAGAGAAAAGACTGTACAATTGAGAGAGATTTTGAGGGGTGTTAGATGGAAGAAATTGGAAGAGAGAAAGGCCAAGGATCAGAAGAAGAGATGGCTAATTTGAAAAGAGTAAAAGAAGAATCTGTTAAAGATTTTGGTATGTTGCTCATGATCTATCTATATAAAAACAGAGGCGTTGTTTTCAATATTGTAACGCATATATCTATCTGTAAATAAATTTTTTTTTTGCAGAGTGTTTGAGAGAGATAGAGTGGTTTGTTTATATAGGGGTTTAGCAATGAGTAGTAGTTAGTTTGGCGGTTTAGGTGAGATAGCTTGACTCGGCACGAAATTTAAGAAAAAAGAAAGAGTTTTAAAATTTTTGATCCAAAATGAATAATAGAAATTTATATGACTATAATTAATTTATTAAGAATAAAATAAATATTTTATAATTAAATTGTTATTTAATATATAGAAATATGTCACATTGGGACTGAGGGAATATAATCCTTACACAAAGTAGGAGGATGAAACAGTCATATATTAGGTAGGTAACTTTCCAATAACTACTCATTATAAGTTTTAATAATTGATAATTTAAAATATTTAAATATAAAATTTACAGTAAAAAAAAATAGATTTATTTAAATTTTAAAATTCGAAAAAAATGTCATATTAAAACGACAAGTAAAAATAAACGGAAAGTTAATCCTGCAAGAAGACAGAGAATGAGAAAGGCTTATCCAATTTGGAATCGTAATAATTAGTTAAAGAGGTTAAATTAAAACGTGTCGGTTTTACGAGAGAGTAAATACGTAAAAGCGAAGCTGCTATTTGCAGGTCAACAATTGCTGTCTCCACTACTGCACAATTATCGTTTAAAAGAAGACTCTTTAGAGGGGAAAAAGACGTGGAAAATCATATAATTAAACAAAATGGGAATTTGAGCATTTAATTAATCATTATATTGTTATTTTTGTTTTTAATCCCTCTGATATTTAATTGAGTATATTAAATCTATTTTTAATTAGCTAATAATTTAACATATTTGAGGATTTTTTTTTAATAATTTGGGGATGAGGCAAATTACAATGTAGGGAATCGAACCCTCACCAACAATGTGAGAATTTAAGTAGTCAACCAACTAAGTGAGATTCTCCATATTTGAGAATACATATTATAATTCTGATTATAAAAAATTAAATCTGAATAAAATAACTTTTTAACTAAGAGAACCAAATAAACACATTTTTATCAATTAAAAATTAAATAAATTTAGTAAAATATCACAACAATCAAAAATTAATTTTTATTAGGAGTAAATAGATATGGAATCAAAAGTGCAAGTTATTTATCTCTAATAATATCGGTAAATGGAAAGCATAATTAATGGTCAAATTCGTAGTTGGTAGCGGGCCAGTCTTTAACTGGATTGGTTTGCCTAAAGTTTTCGATAATTACTAGTTTAGGATCCTAAATTAAATCTAAATTAAATAGGAACAAATTACTTAAGTGTACAACATTACTTTACCTATTCTCAATATTTCCTTACTCTTTTATTAAAATACAAAAATTCCTTACTTTCCCCCAATTCAATTTAACCGGATACTTTATTATTTGGAAGCCAAATCAGACCTTTTCCATTCCCTAATTTTCGCCCTCATTCTCTCCCATTACAATTTCAGTTATCAAATTCAAATAATTTTGAATTTCAAAAGAATCCTATCACTATTCAACCGGATTTAGAGTTCGAATTAGGTTTTCTCATCTTCTCCATTGTGATTTCCGCCTTTTTTTTCTTTTTTCTTTTATTGTGTATCAATCGTTTTGGCTCTTGCATTATGCATCTAACATCTAACAAATTTCTAATTTTTTATTCAGAAGATCCTAACAGCAAAGAATTGAGTTCTAAAAGGTTGCATCACCCGATAGTCATGACAAATCAAAGTTCTAGCAAGAGAAAATCGTTAAAAGAAGTACATGCATCAACTTCAAAAGATCCGAAGTAGAAAGGTTGTCCCTCCCATTAATCGACCAACATTACCCATGGTGTGCAATTTTTATCATATATGTATCCCCTGTTTTTTCTTTAATCTGATGATAAATTATTTCTTATTTTTTTATTAAGTGTCCTCTTTGAAATATGCAGTTGTTTTCCAGATACAATAATTTTTTGCGAATTTGTTTATTAACTGTTATTGTATCAAAAGTGAAGAGAACTGTATCGAAGTTAAGTACTCAAATCACATTTACTTTGTAGGTTATTTTTGTCACTGTATATAAGGAATAATTGAATTTGTGTACCTCTGATGTTTTCTTATGATTTGTTGTTATTTAGTATCAAATGAAATGAACATTACTGTATCTAAGATACTTGCTTAATTCACAATTTGGCATCTAGGTTGGTTTTGGTACTGTGCATCATAGTTAATGATAATTCTCTATATGATACTTAAAAGAATAAAAATGGTTATGAGAATTTATATTTGTATCACATTGAATTATGTCACTGTATATACAATATAATTGATTTTGTGTACCTCTTATGTCTTCTTGTTATTTAGTATCAATTAAAGCGAAACATCATTATATTTCTGTAATAGTATATCATTTCTATCTATAGGAAACTGGTGAACTGTTGGGTCCACAACAGTCGTTTGAGTTGGAATATGCTCAAGACATTATGCAACAACAAAGCGATATCCTGTTAGTATTGTAAAATAATTTATTTACTTACACATTTAATTCTCTTTTTTAATGTATCTACTTTTTGTTTGCAGTGGTTGTGGAATGTATGTAGCTGTTTTTACTGACGAAATCAACATTCCATCTATTAGTTTTCAGAGTGACTATCTTTGCAATAGATATGCAACACTGTTATGGAAGTATGGTATGGACAAGTTCAAGGCTGGATATGTTAGCGATAATGATGATCCTACAAGGCCGAAGAGTGGCTACACTACACCAGCAGAAGGTGGAATCATTAATGTAGAATAGTTATGTTTTATTGTATTGAAGATACGTTAATTAGTATTTTGTAATATTCCTTCCTGTTTCAACACAATTATTCTAAGTAATTATTAATTTGAATACTGTTTTTGTCAAAAATTGTATTTCAATTTTAATTATTGTTCCAATATATATAGTTTATTATATAGTATCTTGTTACAAATTGTATCTTATACACCAATACTGCTGATACAATATAACCATCAGATACAAAATATCTGATACTATATATTCTACACTTGGTAAACATCAACTAATTTTTAATTTATTTAGTATCTATTAACATGTGGTAGCCTTGATGTAAATCACAACATATGATACTATATTATTATCGGATACACAATATCCATAAAATTATTATGTATATGATACACATTTTATTATCAAATAACAAATTTGTGTATATGTTACAACTGGTACAAAACAATTAAGTTTCAATATATTTAGTATCCTTTAACAGGTTGAATCTTGTAACATTGATTTAAATCATAACAACTAACAATTTTTTATTATCAGATACAAAATATAGTTGAACTATAATGTGTATGATACTAAATAAATTATCTAATAACTTAATTGTTATATACCCCAACACATGTACAATATGTTTTACACTAGGTATAAAACAATTCAATATATTTAGTATCAAGTGGTTATGTTGTTGTAAAGTTTTTAGGTACTGACCATCAAATCAACAATGAAATGATTTATTTATTTTTGCATATTCCTTTCATACTCTCCATTTGTTACTTAATTACATATGGTGGTTGTTACAGACAGTGGGGCTTTGAGAAGTTGTTGTTCAGAGACTCGAGAAGTAACATTAGGAGAGATCGGAAGTACGCCATATAGGCAAAAAATGCATATTCAACAGTTTGTCTCTTGTAACATTTATATAAAGTTAAAATCACACCAAATGATAATATCTTATTAGCAGATTCAAAATATCCAGAAAATTAGTACACATGAAGCAAAAAAATTCTTAAAAAGTAATCATCGAGAATCTTTTGGAAAGAAAGTACATGTTCTTATAATGTGACCTTCTTGTCCTGTCACGACCCGAGAGTACCCCTAGTCGTAACATGGCGTATTCGACCCCGAAAGGGTCTTATATGAGCCACATAGTCATTCATTGCATTCAATAATGAAAATAGTGCGGAATGAAAAAAAAACTTATTTACATCCACACATTTAAAATTCATTAAAACAACTTTAAAAACACACAGCGGAAGTCTAAGTCTCACATGGCCATCTTAGACACAGTCACAAAACATAAGTAGGGACACGGCCCTTTACAATCAAAAGAAGTCTATTAAG